TTAGATGAATTTTCTTAATATTTATAAATTATAGCTAAATGTTTATCCGCAGATAATATTCGTTTCTCAAAACTATTACAATGACCAACTTTTTCTTTTTCGTAAAATTTTTTACTATTAATTCAAACAAATGTGCATTGAGAAAGCCCTATGCTAATACAAGTGACACTATTGCACATGATTGCACTCTTATATCTGTTGACATACGGCTGGAATTCAATTTATAGTCTGATACTTTCGTACCTTTTTAATCTTTTATCTTAAATGTTAATTCAGAATATATTCACAGTTCATCATGAGGGGTTTGAAAAATAGCAATTTTTAACGTTTCAATCAATAATATCAAACTTTTCAAAACATCAGTTTCGTCGACAGTAAGCTTAATATTTGGATTCTGATAAAAGTGTAACAGATTATCTATAACAGGTAGAAGCGAAAACTTAATATTGTTAAATTCAGTTCTACAAACAGGAGAAATCGTGATCATACTATCTGAAATTACTTCAAGAAAATCGGTATTTTCTATACTAAATTGGCCATTTAGCTTTTCTTTAAAGCACTTAACCATTAAGTTGCTTAAAAGTTTACAATAATCGTGCCTCAGTAATCTTTGCTCAAAATCTGTAATCGCATACTCCCTCATTTTTTGTTGACGCTGTTCAGTATCGTAAATCTCTTGCAGATTTTGTCTTTCAATTGTTAGATCGTTAATCAGTTTCATTGCTTTCATTTGTATCTGTAACTGATCATCGTATAGAATTTTTCCAAATAATTGCAAGCCGCCATGATCGATCCACGCTTTTTGCGCAGCAGGGAACTGACGTATTATGGCACTTAAAGCGAAGAGACATCTGGATCTTACTTCAATTCTACTACTTGTAGATAAAACGTGCAATACTTTTTGTATAAAATCATTTTCCAATGCCTTAGCTTGCACTTTCGGATTCGATTGGGCAGCTGCTCCCAGAAGGCGTAACGCTTCTGATTTTATCTCATTATTCGTTCCATTGAGACATGGTGATATAATTTTGGTCAGTCTGTAATCAAAAAGAACAGAAATATATTAGTTTTTGTTGATTTTGTCTCCAAGAAACATTGTATCTATTCCACTTACCCATCCATGTCTGAAAATACTTTAGCATTATCGATTTGATGAAGAAGATACTCTAAATTGTTCAAAATATCCAGAACTTCTTCAACCTCTATGCTAGTTAATGTCCCTGCAGTGACACTATTTTTATAAGATTGAAATTTTTGGAAAAATTCCTTTAATAATTCTGAGTCGCTCGTAACATTAATTTTGAGAGCATTAAGTTCCTCTTTCAAAGTTTCATAAAAATTTTTAAAGTGTTTTACAATTTTTGGTCGTGGTTCTCCATTCTAGAATGAGAAGAGAAAAAATTATAGACTAAATGATACAATAGAATATTAGAAGTATTAATAAATGAGCAAAATGTTGAACATTATGACACATATCTAATATTAAATAATAATAAGGGATATACTTACATGCAAATGTGATATATCTACTGTTTCTTCTTGTTTAAGTTTTTTTAATCTTGCTTTCAACTCATCAATAGGAAACTTTAACGATTCAGAATCCTTTTTTATTTTTACAGGATCTGCTTCTTTATTTTCTAACACTGATTTATCAGGATGTAATGTTAGCGACTTGGAATTTGATTGATTTGCACTTTCATCAACATCTTTTACTTCTTCAGCATCATCCATTAATTTAGCTTCTGTCATTCCAGTTGCAAAGTTATGCCTTACATGAAGCCCTTTAGGGATAGGAGTTCCTAAAAAATTGATTTTTATTAAACCATTTAATAAAATCAGTACATATTTTTATCTATGTTCAATTTATTCATATATTCAAACTCTATTTCATTATTACATCAATGCACATATGTTTATGTAATAAAATTAGTTTGCAATCATAAAAATTATTATTATATAACTATTTATATGTTTATAAATAAAATTAACTATTTAGAGCAAAAATACTTTTGTAATTTACCAATATCTGAAGAAAAACTAGAAATAAAATTATTAAAAAAGAATTATTTTAACACAATTCTTTTAACACAATTCTATTTAAATTTCTCAAAACTGCTTATCGTTGCACCACGTAATCGAATGAGTATACGTCACTGAGAGCAGTTGATTTACAATCACCATCGGTTTTGCACTGCTTCCGATTTAAAAGAACCCTGAAGGAGGGTAATTTCCAAAAATTCCATATTACATGAAACGTGTCTTCAGAAACAATATTAGAAGACGCATTTTCGCTAATTATCGCGAAAAGATCGCACGACGGATGATTTGACTGACGTGGTGTTGTAGTTGGCGTAAAGTAGTTCCACATTGCGCTTCCACACCGACCGGCTAAACTCACCTTTCTTCACAGTTTGCCACTCGTGCGTCGCCACGAAGGTGCTCTCATTTTTTTCGGCGTCGCCGGAAATCGCAAACGACAAATAGATGAGCAGAATATACGTGTCGGCACGCATTCTGACAGACACGTCGTTGTGTACCGTAGCGAACGTGCGGTTGCGATTTTTCTCGAAAGCACGAACGACTTTTTACAAAAGCGTGTAAATCTCGCGACCGTCTATCATCAGCTGACGAAACTGCGACGAAAAATTTTCAGAACGCAGTTCTGCATGACATTATTCACTGGACTCGAACGTTATTCACGTGTTGCGTCCGTTATTTATTGTGTCAATGTGGTCCAATGTGCCGATGACAGTTACGTGCATCGCCACCAGAGTCCGACACTAACCATAAGGGTATATTCAGATAAACTTGCATAATACATAAGCGTATATATAAGGAAATGGATTGGTCCATGAAAAGATGCATAAGAAAATGGACCAATCCATTTTCTTATGTATAAGCTTATGCATTATGCAAGTTTATCTGGATGTACCCTAACGATGTGCGACGTTGTCGCGTTTACTATTCGAATTCTGCTGTATCTAAACGTAAATTTGGTTAGAAATTAATTTTATGTGTAGTTATACTACAAGATGGTTATTTAGGATTGTTTGCTTATTTTATTGTACGTATAATTATTAGCAAACAGTAATATATAACGGAACAAGTAGGATGAATTCGCGTAATACTTCAAAGGTATTCAGACAAAGCGTTAACCCAATAATAATTTTGTAATCATAAATATTTTACATTCAATTTTTTTAAATGGGAAACTTTTATATTATGCGACGTTAATATCTTTGCTATACTATATTTAACATACTTTAACATGTTTTATCTTTCAAAAGTACAATGTAATTGATCTGTATATAACATGCTAGTTTAAATATTATTTTATTGTTCAATAATATAAAGAACCTAGTTATTTATACTATAAAGTAATCCTTTTCACATAATATAATTCTAATTATTGTATATATTCGTATTTTCATTGTATTGTACTTGCATTTGTATGATGTAACATTACTTATACAATAGCATGCTGAAAAATGCAGGATAAAAAATGGGAGACACAGAAATAGATGCAAATATATAATTGCGTGATAGAGATTTTTTAATAAAAGAATTTATGAAATTTTTTAGATTCTCGGGGTTCAGAAGATCTCGTTTGAGACCTTTGCTAGCAGCGGCTCGGCAACGTCGCTCTCAGCAATCGACCAATCAACACTTGGAACGTACTCTGGGCGCGCAAGGCTAACTACGTGAAACTCATTTACTACGCGCTTGTCCGGTACTCTGAAGCCGGCACGTGCGACGACCGTTCCCTCGCGCAGTAACACAGTAACCGTTGCGCGCGCTGCGTCTCTCTTAGTTTCTTCACCACCGCATACGACACGCACACGTTCATCATCCTTTGAACGCTGACAAGAATCTGTTCATATCAGATTGATCATCATGGCAGAGGAATATCTATACGGTAAATATGATCAGCTACGGTGCTGTGATCACCATTCGCCCGTTATTTAGCGACGCACGCGAATACTTACGTATAGTCGGCCATTTAAGAGCAAAGGGGGGTGCTCAGCCCGAGACGCCGGCTCGGCTTTCGGCCATTGCAACCGATCCCCATTGTCCCCGCGTGCACGGCCAATATCGCGGTTGTAATCGACAATACTCGTCATCATGTGAGTACTACTGTGATTTATGTGTCCAGGAATCACTCTCGAAGGACCGAACGCCAGTGAGGTATGGGATCCTGAGCACAAGAACGATGACTCTGACGGCGCAGCCCAGCACATAGGCGCCGATCAAAAACTTATTATAAAAATGGTAAATATATTTCGGAGCGAAGACGAAGCCACCGACGCTCATTTTGTCGTCATCGATTCTCCCCGCTCGCTATTATTTATCGCGAGAAATTAATACGCGATGTGTGTTTGTCACTACCTGTACATCATTTCCTTTCCCCGCGATGTAGGCGTACGTTTATTCCGTTTCTCGGTTATAGCTATATTCTGCTGCCATGTGTCGCTTTTTCGTACTTTGCCGTTGTGTAAATGTACTGAACAATCTCAGTGGGCATCATTTTGAAATGTCCTGATTTTTTTCTCGTAACGCTCGTCATCTTCACAAATGTTTGCGCGCGAAACATTAATCTATGCTGTAATTAATCGGCATGTGCGATTCTATTTGTTTATTCGAATAGAAATTTTTGTTTGCACAATTCGGATGATAATATATCGTTTATTACATTTCATTGTTTTTTTTTACATGCGTAATTTTCTTTTTGATAATCATTAAACGTTGCTTATTTTCAGCCGTTAGGCAAAATAATTAATTGAAAATTTTTTTTTATGAATTATATATTTTGTCAACAGTATATGAGTACTAGTGTACTAATTTGTTTCTGATGAATTATTGTGAACATTTGATGCTTGATGCCGTTTTTTCATAATAGTTTTGCTCTTTACTTTAAATTGGATTATATTATATTCACAAAAATTATAATAAAAATATTTTATTAAATTTATTCAATAAATAAATTTATAAAATTAGGTATATAATGTTAAGGTTTTTTTTTAAATATAAAATTATTAATAACTTGTGAGTACTTGCGATTAATATTGTTTAACCTATAAATTATATTATTAAATATATTGTTGATAATGTTAAAAAATATTGTTTAATATGTAAATTATACCTAATTTTCTTTGTATGATTGCTATATATTAAATTTTATAGGCTCTTTTGGGTCCAGAAGCTAAACCTGGAGAGCTTAATGTATTACAAGTTGAGGCAATGGGATTAAGAGGACCAGTCAAAACTCCAATTGCATTATTAGAAATGGGAAAAACTGCACAAATCATTTTAGATCTTGGTTTCCCGGATCCTCCTGTCACGTTCACATTGATTAAGGGCAGTGGTCCAGTTCATATAGTAGGACATAATCTGCTCGGTGAGTAACTTGAAATAAATATTTAATAAACTTAAAATGAACTGTTTGACGAGTTTTGTTCTTCATAAATTCTGTTCAATTTTATATATTTTTTATATTTTATATTATTTTATGTTATTACATATTATATATCACTTGTACACACAATTTAATACAAAGCTCTACATACATGATATCTTTCAATAATCCAATGTACATTTTTTGTTAGGCTTTAATGCTTATTTTTTAAATAGTTGGTCAGAAATTAGTATTTTTTTAAATTTTATTTATGTTTATCTTCACAAAGTCTGTTGAATAACGGCGATATAAATAAAAAAAATTGGACACCTTAAACAAACACCGAGAAAAACAAATTTGTAACAATTAATTCATTATTTTAATGGTGTCCCGATTTGAAAATTTAGATTGTTATAATTTATTTATTAATCTTTTTCACGCTGGCGTATATGCATGTACACATATACATTTAATATATGCAATTGAATTTTGTGTATTATATATATTAATAAAAAATTTATACATAAAATCAATATTATATATGCTCTTATGTATTTATGTCTAAAAATATAAATTTTTTTGCATTCTAAAGTGATAATTGAATTTATGTTTTATTTATTATATTATTAACTAAATGCTTGATTAATATAAAATTCTCATGGTATATACAATTTTATTATTGCAAAAAATTTTTTGTATATTATAAAAAATAAGTTTTTATTATTTTTAAACATTTATTATCATTGATTTAATTTTAATTTTTGAACTTTTTGCAGAGGATTATATTTTTTTCTTATTATTATTGTTATTATTTCAGGTGCACACATTGAGGAATTCGATGAAATAGATGATGATATGGAAGAAGAGAACATCGATGATGAAGACGATGAAAAGGTATGAATTATCATATTATATCGGTATATATATGTATATAGGTATATATACACATATATATCTTGAATTATAAATATATGTTCTATATATAATGAATTTAGCAAAAATGCAAAATATATGTTAATACAAATAATATAAAATATGGGTGAGGCATATAAACATATTAATAACGAGAATTTACACAGAATGCATCTGAAAAATATGATAGAAATATTTTAGTGCAAAATATGTTTAAATGTGTTAGTCTTACATCACAATAATTTATTATAGAGAATCTAAGAATGTAACTCGTGAGATATTTTTAGTTTATATATTGCTAGAAATTATTATGGCAATATTTTAAGTTATATAAGAAATATCAATTTCAGGCACCGCAAAAGAAACGAAAACTTTTAGCAGAGGATAAAAAAAACGGCATTAAACGGATGAAGATGTAAAGAAATAGAGTGCTAAGATAAAAATATGCACTGTGCTATAGTCAATGTGCTCTCTAAAAATACGACAATATTGCACTAGAAACACTTTCAATTTTACTTGAGACTTTATCCTTAAAATACTTTTCAAGTGTTACAATTTGAAGAAAGTAAAAAGTAGATATTATTAATTTATGAAAATTTATCTTTTAAGATAATTTTTTTATGAATGTTTTATATATCTACATTTTCTTTTCAAATTACAACTTAAAAAGTATCGAAAGTTATTAAAAGAATGTATTTTTTACACTTGTGTTCTCATTCCATGTCCGTTTTATTTTTGTAAAATAAATCATCCTGTTTTGCCAAGAATTGCTTTTATTCTTTACTAATCATGCTTCCTTTTTTTCCACTTTTGCAAAATATTTTATCTGAATGTAACTTGTATTTGATTGTAGAAGTTACAATAATTAAATGATAGAAACAAAGGATATTTTTTTTAAACTCGGTAATTAACAAATAAATAATTAGGCTAACAAATAAATTTTAGAATTTTAATTACGAGTTATAATTATGGAACGTGATAAATTTTGCTAAATATTTTCTTGAAATTCTTGTTAACCGCAAGAAGTAAATACAAATACATAATGACATACAAGGTCTCGCCCTACTTATTTCAAAACAAATTATTTTATGTAGTATACAATTTTTTAATGTTAAAATTTTATCAATAATTTTACTTATTTTTAAAATTCATTGCGTGATTATGTTTTGTATTTCTTATAGGATCCTGAAGATGAAGACGATGAAGAGGATGAACCTAAGAAGAAGAATGCTAAGCTATCAACTGCAGCCAAATACAAAAATCAGGCTAACAAGAACAAGAAAAAATAAGCATGAGCCTTAACGTTATGGAAATAAAATAAACACTTAAGTTAGGATATTAAATGTAAGTCCATCATTATCATCCGCATTTGTGCGAATCTAGTATCGTTTCATCGGATTATCACAGAACAAACATTGCCTTCCACTTTTCTAAAACACAACTGGACCAACCAAATATTTCTAAGATAATCAGATAATTTCAAAATGATTAGGATTATATACTATTGTTTTTGTCATGAAAAAATACAACATATTTACTTTATTTCGAATACTTTTGGCGTACACATTCTGCAAATATAAGAATATTATCTTATTGCAAACTTTTTTTAGGTTGTTTTTTTTTTCCAAAGTAAAGCTTGGTATTATACCTCAGTTATACAGGTATTTTTATAATATACTTCTGAAGACACATGGTTGGATATTTTCCTAGAAACATATTTAGCGAGATATAATTTAATACTAAAAAAAGGACAAGATTTTGTAAATACAATTTCATTATTTTCAACAATTATTTTTTATTTGAATTGGAATTGCCTGATTTACAATAAAATTGTTTATTAAATAATTTCTTAACAAAATTTTATGCAAATGAATATAAATAAAACTTTTTAATACTGAAATTTTTTCTCTTTGATATAATTTCTTATCGTTAAACAAATTATTGAAATGCATACGATAATATGAAGGTAGTTTTAATTTTAACACAAAGCAATGTTTCAATGACTTTTGGCCCAGTTGTTAGTGTATAATTTGTGGAAAGCGTGAATGAAATTGCAGTGAGGTGTTTTCTATTTTCTTTCTGTGTGTTTCAAATATCGTGTTCATATCGTGCATTTCCAGAGATGCGAAAATATATTAACGCAGCAGGTTTAAACACGATTTTTTGAAATTGTTTTGTGTAAAGAATTACTGAATTAAGACTCTGGCATAATTTATTAGTTTCGTGTGTACAAGATGGGGAAAAGATTATTAGTCATTCCTAAGTCCAGAATTTTACTGACTCTAAAGATATCACTATTTAAAAAGAAAAAAAAGAAAACATACAATTATGTCATCTCAACATTCATTCCATTTGATGAAATGTAATAGAAAGGAGTTACAGGTGTACCGGGTAAAGAGATGCTCTTACATCAGTGTAATATGCAATAAAAGCATATGCAACACGTGTATAAAACACGTGCGATTGATAAGTAGTCTGTACACCTATTTTGTACATATACGATACAATAAAAAATTTCACAACTTTTAAAATTCGTATTGCTTAAGTAAATGATAATTTGGACGTATCCTGTAATCTGGGTAAATGTTTGAGTGTAATCTATTTTGAGTATATAGTAAAAAGTAATATTTTCAATATTATTTATAATATGTATCTACACACCATATCATTAGAAAAATTATTTTTTTACTTCCCTGAGATATAAAACATTGTTTGATTTTGTTTGAAAAAAAAAAATAAATTTCTTATGTGTATTTTAAAATCTACGAACAGAAACTCATATTTATAATTACATTAAAAATTTATTGATTTCTAATGCTATTCATTTGTCTCTGATTTTATCTAGCGTCCAAAAAATATTGACTTTAAATATTGGACAAGTAATTTTAATAGGATAATTGTAATGAATTTAACGCGCAACATGTCAAGTTTCTTGTACTTTATATATGTATAAGGAAGAAGAAACGCTATAATTTTTTCGACATTTATTTCTGAGTTTTACAGAAGCAACATCAGAGATTTGGAATTTATTGTGATTATTAACTTTGAACACTGAGGTTAAAGGAACACGACGTATGATATAATTAATGAAATAATACAACAAAGAGAAAATTGTCGGATAAAAGGAGATATTGTTACGGATTATCTTTCGGAATTATAAATATCGTGATATGCAGACTATAAGCTTAAATGAATGTTCTACTAATATTGTAGAAAACAAAGTTTCTCAGGATGCTACAGAATGTGACATAGTTGATCATAAAATAGTAACTCTACATCATCAAGTATGTTAGTATTTTATATTTGGCTATTAATAACTAATATCTTGCAAATTATAATAATATCAATATTTAATCATAGTTACGACATTTTACATAAATGGATAAACCGTTAATATGATTTAACATTTTAGACATTGACAATTGATAAATCTATATCAGTTTTATTGATGGTATAAGAATATTATTCATAATTGTAATTTTCTTAAATCTTACATATCAAGGTAGCAAAATTGAATGAAATTATAGTAAATTTCGAAGATGTTATACAAATAAAAGATACACAATTAGAAGACATGCGTCGAAAGAATGCTAGATTACTGGCAGAGCTGAAAAAGCAACAAAAATACAACAGAAATCTTAAACGTAAGACTTGATCATTATATATTTTTTATGAAGCACATAAATTAGATATTTATGAAAAATTTGCGAAGTAGTATATTAATTATTTTCATTGCAGAACAGTTAGATGATGAGAAATTTGTCTATCAGAGAAAGAAAAATTATTTCACTGAGGAAATGCAACGGTATAGAACCAAGTATATTGGTAACACATCCACGTTTCATCAACAATGGCATAAAGAGCTGGAACAAGCACAAGATACTTTGGAAACGGAAAATAAACAACTCAGAGAAGAATTGGCAGATAAAAATCAAATTACATATAATTTATGCATAAAGTTCCTGCGTATGAAACATGCTAAAGATACATTAAGGCATAAATTAGATCAGTTGCTACATGAGCATTTGCTAGTAATGGCAGAAATGATGGAAAAGTTAGACGAAGCGCGAAAGGAACTTAATCTTATTGTGTCAGAGAAATTTCAGGAACAATTGCCTCTCAGTAAAGCGAAATTTTTACAAGTAATCAATATCATGTTGCAAAAATACATTATGTTGCTTTGTGTCCAACTCAGTAATTCCTAGATTAGACCATTTATCTTATATAATATTGTATAAATTACTAGGTTTTACAAAGGAATAATAGATTGATGTACGAAAATGCAACATTAAAGGTACAAGTTTATCAACTGACACAGAATATAGAGAAACTAAAAAATGACATTCAGAGACCAAAGAAAATTAATATAGACGCTAAGATTATTGAGAAATTATCAATGCAAAGTAATGCAAGGTAAGATAAAAGAAATATAAAAATCATTAAAATATTTAATTACAACTTATTAGCATTATGTATATTTATTATGCTATATAATTCTTCAATGTTTAAATTGAACCTATATTTACTATTTCTTGTTATTGAGATAGAAAATTGACTTCTTGTATCTTTCACCTTTTTAGATCACTTGTAGAAAAAACAGAAAGAATTGTTTTACTTTCTAAATTATCTCGTCCTGTGGATTCTGAAGATGTACACACAATTTCAGGAGTGTCTTCTGGGAATGTCAATAAACATACATTTGATAATATAAAAGATGCAAAGAGCGATTTTGAGGAATTTCATCCGGAACGTGCTCGAAGCGCGCCAGGAATTGTAGAAGCATTTACAATTTCTCAACATAACGAATAATTATTTAAAATAGACAATATGTGTTTACAGTCATTCACAAAAAGGCTGTAACATTTCCTTTCTTATAAAAACGCATTGAAATAGCGTTAGATTCTGGCGCATTTTAAAACGTATAAAAAAAGTAAGTTTTACAAATAATTACAATTTGTTTGCAGACAATTATAATTATATTTTGTTAGATGTTTCATCAATAATTTTTCATAATTTCTTTGTTATCGACATAATATCGATCGTCGATATGAATTGATTGCAGGCGCCATCTATCTATAATTGAAAGTAATTTTTTCTCTCCTTACAACTTCACACTGGATCATAAACGTCGAATTTCAAGCGTATATCTTTCGACATCTTGATTGCTCGACTCTATTTCTTAGCAATGAGACAATTGAATTTGCTTCCTAGGATTCCGTGCCAATCCGAAAATAAGTACTGCAGAGAGTAAGTGACAGTAATTATTCTGTTGCATGCTATTGGGTTTTGGACTACTTTTCACCTATCTATACGAAATCAACTATGCAATATTGGGCTTGTTCGTTTTAGCTGCACTGGGGCAGCTCTGGGTCTGCTCTAAACAAGATAATACAGGACAAACTATTTATCTGTCCTGTATTATCCTGTGTAGAGCAGACCCAGAGCAGCCCCAGTGTAGCTAAAACGAACAAGCCCATTATTAGCGGTTATATTAGCGTATTCATATTAATGCAAGCGATTATGGAGTACGTAGAGAAAGAATTGATATACTATTTCATAAGCCGATCTGCCTATTCTCTCTTGTCCAATAAAAGGTATCGATAAAATGCAGAAAGGACGTCAATCCGACGATGAATATGTGGGCGTTAAACTATTCTATATCGGACCGCGACGGCGATTAAAGCGATAAAAAAAGACTTGTTATGTTCAGAGACATATTCATTTTCGGCGCTCTCCGACATTTTATACATATACGCCTATTTCTTTTATTGTTAGCAGTCATTTATTATCCATCTATCATTCTTACAAATATTTTTACCAATACATTAACAATTAAAAAATGAAAGTTCAAGACTTGCTAACATTAGCAGTCAAAAACTCTAAATTAATAATATTTCTGCAAAGGTAAAATTTGAAAATATTTTTGGACGCTTTATTTCGGGATTTTTGATACTGCTATTCAACTTTTATTCTACAATTAACATCCTATTAAATTTTATCAATTCTGAAGTCTTCACGGGTCAGATATATTTGAAACACTTTGGAAACGTTGTACTCAAATGAATATCATAATTTATCTCGGTGAAAATTGAACGAGAGGCGAGAGAAACGAATATTTAGCGTCGCGCGCGCGTTTACACTGCCGTAGTAACGTCGTTTATGCCGTCACTATGACAGAAAGGGAAAAGAAATGCGGGTCAGCGGGTGGTTAAGTGCTACCAGGGAAACCTTTAGGACAGTTTACCGCGTCACCCGCGAGCTCTGGTCGTTTCTGAGTCTCCATTAAGTTCGACGTTGCGAGTCGAACACCCATCGACTTCTGACGACGTCACGGGGATATTTTTTTTTCACTTCTATTAAAATACAACTGCATGATTTGCGCGCTCTTCGGGGCGGAACGCTGTACATTAAAATAAAACGTTAATACCGGCAAAATCAAATTGCGCCGACAGAGTTAGCCGGTATTCTCGTCGTACATCTAGCGCTAAATACGGCTGCACTAATTGTCCAATACTGAGTTTTATTTATCGCGTGTGAATATCGCGTTTATTAACAGTGCTAAATATGCGCTGTAGAGAATAATGACCTCTGCCTTTAACCTTTTCACTGGTGTGTGTAGAGGCGAAAATATACGATTATCAAGAACAATTCTATTCTAATTCCGTCGCAAATGACAAATTTCCTCTTTCTCTAAATATATGAAGTAGATGGAAAATATTTAATATTCAATATTCAAATATTTTGTAGGCAAATATTTTAAATGCACGACTATAATGTGTGCGTAATCTTTTCTAGCCATAATTATATATCTCTATAAACGTATAATTGTATTTTCGTGAACAGCTAAATATAATTTATATCTCAATTAATAAGAAATGTTTCTGCGTTATTTTCTCATGTCGTAAACAAGTCTTTTTTCAGTTTAAATAGATTTAGATCGCATTTGTAATGAAAAGAAAGAGAAACATATTTAAATGCGAATTTAGCAGAGTAAGAAAAGTAATTATATTAAGTAAATGTATATTATCTCGAGGAATTAATTCCATCTTCAACACTATATATGTTATTATAGTGTGCGAGCGATATTAATATATATTGAAAACTAATGCACACACACAAGTATATCGTGTATCTTCCAGCTTTCGTAATGTTTTATCGTATCGTAACGAAATTTTTCTACATTAAGAGAAATTTCGTATTAATCTTGCCGCATAAAAATTGCAAAAGGAAAAATTGAGGGTAGAAATCGCACTGATTCAGGTCTGCAATCATGTTGACATTGTTTCATTAATATTCTCCTCCTTTTTTTATTGTAATGAAACTATTTTCTACAGTAAAGATTCTTTAAATTCCCAAATCATAAAATAATATCTCCGGTTATTTCATAATAATAGTTTATTATTCACAGAATGATCTCAAAGCGAAAATCGTATCGCCTACACGAGTTAAATCGAGATTTTACAATAGCATAATTAACTAATTAATCGTGTAGCCGCTAATCACCTAATGACCCATTTAATATTCGTAGCTAGGTAACAGTTATATTCATCGAAATATCTCAAAAATGACATTATTTCGACAAAGATGCCATTTTATGAGAGCATATGTGAGGAAGAAAACATTCTATTGATTGTAAAAGACAGTTTTTCATGTATCTCAATGTGTAACGCGAATAGAATAACATTTCTTAGAATGTTCGAATGAAACCATTCATCATGTAGAGGGGTAGGGAACCGAAAGTTATTAGTCGTTAATTATCGGCCGTACGTGACACTGAAACCTTTTAATTAAATCGATTTTTTTCACAAAATACCTGTCACATCCGCGATTTTTCAACGACGACGACTTCTGGAAAGGAAATGCTGCTGTTCTTTGCAAGCAACGTATTACAATCATTAAAGAGACTTTAAACTTTGAAAATAGTATCCAGTACAAACATATCAATTTTTAACTATTATACCAGAGCAATCAATTTGATTCTAGAAATGAATTACTAGGAAGATTTATTTTAAAAAATTAAAATTATTATAAATAAAATACTAATTGAGTAATCTTCCTAGTAATACATTTAAGAAATATTTTTAGAATCAAATCGATTGCTTTATCGTAATGGTTAAAAATTTATATATATATTCTCCAATATTAAATATCTGTTTTTGCAAAATTTTGCAAAAAGATTGGCAAAATTCTTTTCTCGTCCGATTCTGACGATAAGACTTTTCATACTTGTTGGAGCGACGAGCACATTTCTGATAGGAATAAATTCAACAAAGAAAAGATCGTCGATGAGTAATTTCGGTGAGGACGGAAAAGTAGAAGGCGGAAAATGAGAAAAGGACGTCGCCGCGCGTCCAGCATTGACATTCTGAAAAATGATTAGGCTTTAACCCCTTTAAAGGTTCATTTCTGCTCTTGCGCTTTTGAATTCTTACTCACGTCTACAGGCAATAACTCCCACTCACAGTTATATGCTCTACAGAAAGACAGCGCTCGATAAAACTTAGCCGTTTTGCGGATAATTGCGACAATGTGTCGCGTCGCCACGTCTATCTCGTTAATGAGAGACAGATACACGTCAAGGATCTTGCCCGACGGCAGCGAAAAATTAGCTCCTCCAAAGAATGAGTCCCTGATTTGACGATAGTATGCATGATATTTGCAGATGTGGCTTTACTTTAAAATTAGGCTTTTGAAGTAATTTGTGATAATTTAGAAATAATACGTTTGTTACAATTTTAAGAGAAAATGGATAATTATATGACAATTATATACCATATACATTTTTTATAAGATTGTTTTTTTATACAGTTGAGAATATCTTATTTTTCCTAACTTGGAGATAAAAATCGATAGAGCGCGTTATAATTTATCAGTTACAGATATATATAATTTATCGATCACAAATAATTCAATGAAAACTAAGCAAGTGTAACATTGCAGATGGAAACAAACTTCCATTTCTCACTCTAAAGTTACCTCCCACTCAATCATCAATTTTGTTACACCTCTATTTCCAGTTGAACCTATTAAACCGTCAAGAATCCGTACGTACCTGTTGAAGTACGAACTGTAAATTACAGGGAGTGGCGCAAGTCACCTAGATACAGTAACGAAACTGATGGTTGTCCTGTTAATTCGGAGGATACTCGTGTGTAATTTGATTTATAGGAGTAACTAAAACATTTCTTTCAACAGACTGTAAGGAAATGCAGAACTATATTTCTTTGAACAGACTGACAGAAAATGCAGAATTATATTTTATCGCCAAAGGTTTGAAGTAATAAAAGAAGCGTTTTATTTTTACAATCACATTGTCTTTAAAGTATGAAAACCGTGCCCTAAAGATGATGTGAAACTTGTTTATCTTTCTCTAGGAAAAGTGATGAAATCGTTTGCTACTTGACTTTCATTATTTTTTTGCTAAAAGAGTAAGAAAGTAACTTATTAATCGAGAGAGAATTGCTTTCTTTTTTATATTTGCAAGATATATAAGATGTAAACTTGTTTAAAAAAAAAAAAAAATTATTTTAATCATCTAAAAAAAATAGAATTATTTTTTTTAGATGATTGAAATAATTTTTTTTTAATCCTTAGCTTTTTTCTATGTAAACATGTGTTTAAATAATAAACCTTGCAATCTTCAATCAGAAAAAGGAAATGCGTCAGACGCCAACATCCGTTCTGCCGAAGTTTATGGTAAATTTTCAAAAATATCATAAGGGAAAAAAGCTAAACAAGAGAACAACCCACTATTCGACTTATTTCTTTACTAAGTTTATGCAAGAATATGCAATGTGCTTTGAGCACATAAGAGAGAAGAAAGAAAATTTTTAATTATCTTTTGTTAAAGGAAGTTTCAAGAAGGCGAGTTACACTCTTACGTGCGCGTCTCTACTAGTTTTGCACAAGTCGATATACGCAAGATGCTTTGTGCCCTCAAGAACAGGGGAAACCTATAATTATCTTTTATTAAGGAAAGTAAACAGCTAACTCGTTTAACTTGTCTGTTCCAGCAACTTACTAATTTGCATGGCATACTCGCACGGCGGAAGCGTAATAGAACAGTGCTTGCGGCCGGCACGCGGTCGGTCGTGCACGGCTTCTTCCGTCTCTTCCGCGCGCGAGGATGTCCTGACGCTTGCGTGATACCAACCACGCGTACAGAGTGTATATAGGATCGCGGCTGCCTATCGCGAGCGTCACATTGCGTTCCCGACGTGCGCATTCAACTTTGTCCAAGTTCCGACGCTTGAACAACGGCGGTCGGTGCTCCTAGCTCCGAGTCGAAGGATCGGCGCTTCTCCGAAGACGCCACGTCGATCGAGAATCAATTGAGATCGAGATCATCCCCCCCAAAAATCGACGTCCTCATCGAAGTATACTCGACGTTCGCTGGCGGAACCGGATATCGTTGCCGAGCCGGGCGATTTTCTTCCCGAAATCCCCCTTGCATACATCAGAAATCGAGGTGGACTTAGCGGCGTGAAAAATAAGAACGTACAACCGGCGACGGGATTCGAGATTACGCGCGATTAATATGGGAATCAGCTTCGTTCCGTTGATCGTGGTAGCTATGATACCGATGATCACCGGTAATTTCGGACAGCGTGCCATGGGGAAGAGAAGCTCCACGGGCAACGACATCGCTAACGTCGATTATCCCGATTACTCAGCCAAATACGACGATTATCCGGTGAGTGAATAAATGTTGAATTGTTAATTACTTCCTGTTTAATTTGACTGATAAAATTGTGCAAAACTGTTCGACACAAGTCCAATAAGAAAATTGCACTGATTTCCGTACGTACGTACGCATGAAAATGTCTATAAATTGCCTATAAAATCAAGAAATGTTAAATGCTTGATGCAATGTTCATATTTTTAGTTTCGAGTGCGAGTTCAATTATACGTTTATTAAAAGTTAGAATACCTTGTAAAATGACCGTCGACCACGCGTTTTATATAGGACAAACTTATTTTCCAACATTTTTTTATATATAGTATATGTTTGCACATACACTAAGCATATTTATAATTCTTGTGAATGTTAACAATCCAGTAATTTATTGAAAATTAAATAATTCTTTGCAAAATAATATAAATATGGATGATTAAGAATTTTACTCTCTAAAGGGTGCATTTTGACAGAAACAGGTTACATAATTTGAAACTCTTTACAATTTTAAATACATATTTTAAAAATACGCGTGAGCAGAAATATAACTGATAAGCAATGTGACATTAAGAATTATTATTCTTTTGATACCCTCTATTTTTATCGATTCTGATTACTCTATAAACATTACAGAATTACGTTGTCGATAAAAAGAAAGTAAAAATAGAATTAAACTGAAACGAAACTGAGATTTTATACAAGAAAAAAATGATAGAAAACGAATCGCATAGAGAAAATAATTTCACACATTGCTCGTAAAAATGATAAAATAATGCAAAACTGTTGCAGCATTTCTTCAAACTTTGTTTAAAAAAGGAAGGTAATTGTAATTCAAGAAATTTGTTAAATGTAATTGCACGCCGGCAAGTTTTTCTTTTCTTTTCTTCACCTGCGTCCGGCAAGGCAATCGTTATTTTTCTCTAGGAGTTACGTTATAACGCGGATTTGAACCTAAAAAGATATCCGTGAGTGTTCGGTGTTCGTTTACAACGATGCATCTGTTCTGACAGACGTTTCTAGTTATCTGATAACTTTTATTTTTCACTTGGTCCGCGCTTCTCGAATTTCCTCTTATTACTTCTGTTACGTTCTGTCACCTTTCTCGTCTCGGGTGCAAATCGAGAAAGTTCTCTAAGCACTTAAATTACGTATATCCTTTGCATGTTCAGTTTTCTTTTATGTGTAATCGCACGTTCGAAGCGGCCGCGCGCAATAATTCAAGTAACGCCGCTCCGTTTAGGTGATTGTTGTATATCATTCCGGCACACATTTTGGGATTTGGCAATTTGTAGATTTTACAATCATCCTATACAATTGTATTCTCTCAACTTTGCTCTTAATTCATTGCAGTCACTTATCGAGATTAATGTTAGTGAATCAGAAACTATACGAATAAATCATGGTCGAAGCATCCTTATATTATTGCACAAATCTGAAAATTTAATGGACTATTATGTTTTATTGTCGAGTTTGGATTGTTGCAATGGAATTCATAACTGCCGCGTTAAAATATATCCGTCAATTTCATGTTTGTCCGATGGCAGTTGAAAAACTGAATAAAATGTCTCGAACATAGTATACAAATCGTGTCGTTATACAAGTTTTATGTATGTGCAATATATTTTTTTTTTATATTTGTTATATAATATTTATTCTTTTATATTTCCAAGATAAAATAAGCGACTGCATTGAGAAATGAGAAAACACATTACGAGAGAAGAGACTGAGAATTTTCTCAAACATTTTATTGTATATTTAGATTTTATTACATTTTGATTTATTGATTTCCTGCTCCGAGAATACTGTTATTAAAAGTTTTTTCCTCGGTGCTAATGCAAGAATATTATCTTTATTTCATTATTAGCAGTGCATAATGCTATGCAAATACCCAGCAATGCAATAATGTTTATTTCAGGATAAAATAAATACAATGAATGATATCAAATTTTGCATTACTGTTTCGTAAATGGAATTACATTAATTTATTCTTACCGGATATCATATGATTTTAAATGATTGTTGTCTTAAGAACTGTGCAAAGTTATTATTTGCAATTAATTATTATAATAGATTTGTGCGTCAGTTTTTTCACAGCATTGAGGTTTTGTAGTACTTATTTTCACTCGTGATAAAACGAACACATCACGACAATAAACAACATTTGGTGGTTTGCAATTAGGGATATATTTAATATAGAGCAGATTGCAATTGTTTACTTAACTCGCGTACATCTTACGCGTACGCGAAACATCACGCTAATTATCGCGGATATTTCACACTCGATTGACTAAAACGTCTAAGATCGTAGCTTACATGCAAATCTACGAATTCAAAAGTTATACTTGCTACGAAAACAGTTTACGAAGGGTTCGAAGAAACTGGAGCGAAGTCGGCTGCGACAGTGTGTGTCGTTTTAACGGCGAACTACGAACGCCTCGTTCCACTTACTGTGGAATTATTAACTTCTCGAACGACATTTCCATTACCTGCTAATAATCGCGCTTCGTTAATTTAATCGGCTACGACTTACGATCTTCTGATCTTTAGACGGAGACACATTGTCGCGCAACTTTGTCGGCAGTTCATTTCCGTGATCAGTCTCTCCATTAACCATCCTGTTTTGATCAGCGTCAACGAATTCTCTGGGTATATAAGTGTATTAATTCGTTCGTCCAGTCGCGCGCTTAATTGACTCCAACGATAGTGTCGGTAGTATAAAAACTATGTTTTTTTACGATATATTTCTAAAATTATTATTTTCGAAACAATTTTTTATCAATAATTTGCTAGTTAATTTCGAAATTAACCGAAATATTATGATAAAAAGTCGACGTGGGTTTTCTATTCTGCTTTTTTATCGAATAATTTATCGATGTAATTTAAGCATGCGTCAACTTAATAATTCAGAGCTCTGATTAGTATAAATTACATTTAATTAGGGTGCCAGGTCGGAGGTGTGTTGGATCAAGCATTAAATAATTTATTTTGATCTGCGTTACGAGTTAATTTGTACATGGTTTATTGAAATATATTCTGCTAATGTCATCATCGCGTCGAAAATATGTGAAAATAGGTGAAAATTCAAAAATGATTGAACGATATGTTTTTACAACAGTCGACATTTATTTATTGTAAAACATTATAATGCAGATATAACTTATTTCGCGCGAGCATCTGCGATCTGTATATAATATTCTCTTTTCGTACAGTTTATCTCCATATGTTTGTGCAGAAAATTTATAATGTGGGAACTTTTGAAGTATGCTGCAATGAGTCGTGTGTTTTTTGCGCTTATAAAGTATATTACATGCAAGTTAGTTCTGCGGTTGAGCAGTTGAGAACTAATTAAAATATAAACGATATTATATAATACGTGCAATACTTCTTGCATACCAAACGATATTACAAGTGACGAAAGTGAGACACGCGTGAGATCGTACTCTCGTTATGTTAGTTATAGCGTAGATAATGTCAATAACCGCGACCTCCGTTGTTCTGTTCACTGCTACACGCTTTCCAAGTTGCAGAGCATCGGTATAAGTCTGATTCTCGGCTTTGAATCGCGCACTTATCAGTATCCGAAGGAGCGACAATACTCGACGGAATGGGGACTTATAGAAGCCCTAAATAGACGAATGAATGAGAGACATGCTTATATTTCAGGCATTGAAGTCTCTCACACACACTACCTTGCGCGCATCCGAAAATTAGATACGTATTTTACATTATTTTACATTTCACCGATGAGCCTCGCATCGTCGCATCTGAAAAACTGACCTCATACGGATTTCGGTTATTTATCAGTCGATTATCATTTCTCTAGCGTAACTTTGCGTAAGTTTAATAATGATTCATTCGTGCACATCAACATTTCGTTTAACGTATTGCGTATATAGTTTATGAAATATTTCTCAATCAACGAGCTAAACGTCGAAATAACCGCGGACTCAAATATGCAATATGCAATGTGTAATTTATGCAAATATTATTCATCTGAAAATCGCGACAATCTAACGCGACGTAATTTTTAATTAAATCGCATTCTTTTGTTTCAAATTGGAAAAGGTTTTCTGAAAAAAGTTTGCACGAGAATGACATGGAGTTCTAACAGACAGATTTGACGCGGATGGTACTTTAATAACGCTTTTGCGGTTGGACGCGAGGTCAAATTTGCTCCGGATGTATATGTCAAATGCACCAATACGTACATCTGCAAGTTGTAGCATTTTGATACATGCTGCTCCGAATTCGTTGCCGTATATTTCAATTAATTCGCGTCTCATCTTTCTCGGTAAAGTACGCGCGATGACGCAGACGAGCCGCGTCATTGGCGGTAATAAATTTTATCTCTATGCGCCACACTAATCGTTCGCTCTGGCTGGACCGGGATTTCGCAGGGATTAATACGTCGGCTTAGGACGGTTACAAATTGTCCAGAAATCGACCGATTCTTCGTGGTTTTCTCGGATCACATATTTATCTCGGCCAACAATGTCGGAGCGCTAAAACGTCGCTCCAACATGATTCTAATCATCGTTAAACCCATTCCGATCGCACGGATGAACGGAAGATTGAAGCGTCTCAGAGCGTTTGCTAAAATGCCGATAAAATATTCTTCAGTAATAGTCGCGCGTTATTGCATCGGTAATGTCATTGATTCGACGTGGAATCGCTAACTTAGGTCGTAAACGTGTTTACGGTTATTTCGTCGGAGATTCGGAAAGATGTGATTCTATATGCGACGTCGTAAAAGGAAACCTTTTTTTGTGTAAGCGAACTCCTTTTGTCTCTTCTAATAAAAGGATGTTCCTTTGCGGGCTTCATTTTTAAATAAATATATCAGCATGTACAATGTACAATGTATATAAGTTATGTAAGTGACAATATATACATTATGAATTCCACAAAAGAATATCTTAAAGAGTCTCGAGTCAGACTCGAATAGAATTTTGATACATTTAACGTTAAAATACATGAGACGTATATTTTTGTATCAATCGAAATGGGATCATTTTATA